CCACACCAGTTCCACCATCCCAGGCAGGGTTAAACCCTTTCTTACCTTTCTGTTTTTCATTGGCCATTCTCTTAAGCCTCAATAAAATGCTGGTCCTCCTGTTTTGTGCTTTATGAGCGTTTGATAAGATATACCGACTCTCTGATATGGAGGCTGAATACAGTAATTAACTCCTTCTCCTGCCTGTCCCTCCCACATTCTCCACCTCCCGTTCATGGGGAATGTTTCAACTCTTCTGGAAGTTTCTCCCTGAAACTACTAACACACTTTCTCTCTCCTGTCTGTCACTCCACCTTTGCTCTGTGTTTTGACTCCCCTTTCTACTCACTCCCCAAAGCCCCAGGTGCTTTTGCAAAGTTTGACTATAATAAAGGTGGATTCCAATGGTTCCACCCTGGGCTGAGCCCACCAATGTTACAGTACTCACTGCACAGGGGAAACTGAGCCCAGGGGGATGTTTACTTCTTTGTTGGCCTAATGTGGACACCTCCATCTCAGCCCACTCAAAGAATACATTCCCAGAATCAAGAGCAGATTGGGAGCTGGGCTTGGTGATGTGCACCAATAGTCCCAGCTACTCTGCAGGCTGAGGCAGGAAGAATCTCTTGAGCTCCAAAGTTCCAGGCCAGCATGAGGAATACAGTGAGACCCTCTTACAAGATAAAAATAAACAAATAAAGGAGCAAATTCATTGGGTGAGTTCATTTTTCACTTTATCTGTACCTCCAAGTCATATCACATTTTAGTTTGCTATGTAATTGAAACTTAATTTTTATTATACACTTGTTTTTTTCTATAGCTTTTAATCCTTACCTATTTATTTATCTGTTTATTTTTGGAAGCAGGAATCGAACCCAAGGGCACTTAACCATTGAGCCACATCTCCAACCCTTTTTATTTTTTATTTTATTTTTTTATTTTGAGACAGGGTCTCTCTAAATTGCTTAGGGCCTTGCTAAGTTGCTGAGGCTGGCTTTGAATTTGTAATCCTCCTGCCTCAGCCTCCTGAGCCACTGGGATTATAGGTGTGTGCCACCGTGTCCAACTTCCTAACCTCTTATTTGCAGAATAATAACATGCTTGTGCCTCACCTCAGTTTTACTATCTTTTTGTCCCCTTGCCTCCTCTCCTTCTCTAATCTGCCCCGCCCCCCTCCCCCTAGTCTACACACAGTACTTGAGACTCACCACCCTCTAGTGGGTCAGTGCATAGTATAAATCTCATATCTTTCTTTCTCACTTTCCTGGAATATATTCTCAAATAATGGTCCCAGAAAGGATGTGTGGCAGGTGGGTTTGTTTTTTACTTATTCTTTTTTTCTTCCATTTGGGAATACTTTACCACTGAGCTACATCCCAGTCTTTTTCATTTTTGAGACAGGGTCTTTCTTTTTTTTTCTTTTTTATTTTTTTAATTTATTTTTTAGTTGTAGTTGGACACAACACCTTTATTTCACTTGTTTATTATTTTTTTTTTTTTTGTATGTGGTACTGAGGATCGAACCCAAGGTCTTGCACGTGTGAGGCGAGCGCTCTACCACTGAGCCACAACCCCAACCCAGAGAGACAGGGTCTTTCTAAGTCACTGAGGTGAGCCTTGAACTTGTGATCCTCCTGCCTCGATCTGCAGAACAGCTGAGTTTACAGGCATGTACCACTACATCTGGCTGTTTTGAATCCTCAAAATTCTGAAAACATTGTTATTCCGTCCATTATTGATTGATAATTTAGCCCAATACAGAAAACTAAGTTCAAAATTACTTCCCTGTTCTTTTGTGTGCTTTGTAACACATGGGAAGTCTGACGCACTAGGGTTCTCAGCCTTTGCAGCAAACATCTTAACTTTTACTGTTTTTGAAGTCAGTCAACTGATCTTGTCCACTGTTGCTCTGCACTTTCTTACGGACCTTTCTAAGAGCAGACATTGTTCCTTCAACCTGTATTCCATGGACCCCTCCATCTGAAGACTCTGTCTCTGTAGGTCTGAAATGTGTCTAATATATTACTGCTACTATTCCTCCTTCACTGTTCTTTCCGTTATGGGCTCCATGTTACTCGAAGGCGGACTTGCTGAATTGATCTTCCTATCTCTTACTCTTTCTTTCAGTATTAGCCCCGTGTTTACTTTCCTGTTTTTCTCCGGGGTCTGCTCCTCAAGCTGAGACAGGCCTCTTGACTCAAATTTCACTCATCCTCTGAAGCCCAGACCACACATCATGCCCTGACCCTGACTTTCTTGGCATCTGTGCTGAGGAAGTGCCCATGGCCCCTCAGTGTGGCACCTTGTCCTGATCCTTACTAGGATGCTGATACAGGAAAGGACTCTTCATTCTCAATGGGCTGTGGAAGAGATGGAGGATCTGGGGAGAGCAGAAAGGGGGCTCTGGAAAGTTATAGGGAAGGTGTTGAGGGACTGAGAGGAACTCTGAGTTAGGGCTCTGTGGGAAGTTGGGGGGTGTTCAGTGGGGCTTTAAATGACGGTGGGGGGCCAAGGAGGACTGTGGATTGGCTTAGGGTGGGGTTTGGGGGGACCATGGGTGGGACTATGGGAAGCTGGGGGTGGGACTATGGGGAGCTTGAGGAAGCTGTGGGTTGGGCTTTAGGGGCTGGGGGGGGCACAGAAGCTATGTGCGTCAGTCCTTGGGGGGCTGGGGGTGATACTGTACTGCCCTGTTCAGACCATCCAGGAACAGGGAGAGCAAGGGGGAGGGAACAGGCCAGGGGCCCTTCCACAGATTCCCAAGGCTCTAGTAAATTCCTGGAATTCATGAACTACTTGCCTTGAGGGGTTTTCCGTGGAAACCAGGAAGGCTTGTGATTCCTGTTTGGCCTGATAGGTTGAGATAGCACTGGTGACTGTAGGGAGACCTCTGGTGAGGAGGGGTCCTGACATGTGTCATTCCCTGCAATGCAGACTGGCCACATTGTCTAAGGCCCACAGATTCTGCTTTCCTTCACAGGCCACTGACCTCTGGGGGAGATGACAATGCCTCATGTCCTCGTGTCCCATTCAGTCTCTAACACAGCACTCCCAACCCCCCACTCCCTCCACCCCCCCCACCCCCCCCACCCCCCCCCCTGCACAGCAGCCCGTGCCCTGAAGGCAGCCTGGCCCTACCCTATGGGACCCTGACCTGTGACCACCACCGGACATCCCTATCCCCTGGAGTGTTCACCCTGCCCCTTCCCCATGCTCACATTCCAGTGTCCAGCGGGGTGGGGCCTCTGACTTGGCCTTCATGGTGAGGATGCAGCTGGTTGTAGGCCTCAGAACTGGTTTGCTGTCACTGTGGCTGCTAGAGTTTGTGTTTCTGACCTTCCAAAAGTCCTTCTACCCCTGAGAATATGCTGCACCTGCCCTGAGACCCCCCGGCTCATACATGCATACTACTTCCATGAAGGAAAAACGATGCTGCGTGGTGGGTTCAGGTAATCATGATCATCACTCTCATCTTTCTTTGCATGTTGTAATTTTAAGGTGCTGACAAAGACCCTCGGAGAGAGTTGGGGTGACTCCACCCTTCTCATTTCTGAGGGGGCCTGGGTCTCAGAGTCTCAGCACCTTACCTCAATGTGACTGGCCTCTGCACTTCTAGGCCCTAACTTGCCCTGCCCCTCATGACCTGTTCCAGCATGCAGGCTATCCCTATCAGTGTCCTTATAATTGGACTCACCAGGTTCCTCTGGTCCTGACCCTGACCTCTACTCATGTGATCATCTGCCCCTGCAGAGGCCTGCAGGTACCCAGAGTTACTGCCTCTTCCTGTCCCCAAAGGTCATGCTGGGGACGACTGCTGCTCTTTCTTTCCTCAGGTTCCTTCCTCCCTGATCTGGAGCCATCTGGGGATAGTCAGGAGGAACCCTGGAGATATCTTGGGCAAGACTCACATAGAGACCAAGTAGCAGAGTGACTTGAGCAGGTGATAGTTTGGAAATTCAGTGAAGCGTCTGTTCAAATTATTTTAGCAGTGGGGGCTTCTGCCATGATGCTTCTAGAAGTTTTTTTTTTTTTTTAATTGTTGTTTTTCTTTTTCTTTTCAGCAGAGGGGACCTGTTGCTAGAAGCTCTAGATTCATTCATGCTCAGGCTCGAAAGAGGATCTGCTACCCATGAAGATGGGTAGGTGTGAATTCTGTTGGTTCCACCATCAAAGTAGATTCAACCCTGATGACTCAAGGGTCTCTTTCCTGGACTAAGACACCAGCCACCACCTGTTCGCAGTCAAGCCTTCTCAGATAGCCTTTAACTCTGGAGGCAGATGAGAATGATCCTTCCTTTTCTAAGGAGAACCCACAGCAGGTCTCCATTCTTATTCCTCCCTGATCTAGGCACCTGCCTCTCCTCTCAAATTCTGCTTCCTCTGTCCTTATCTTCCTGCCAGCCGCACCCTGCAGAGCCTCCTGCAGTTTTGTGTCTATAGTAAAAGGCTGCTGGTCCAGATATGGAGGCCTGCTGCTCACGTCACGCAGGCCTCCACTCGAATGCCTCTCACTGGAGAGCCATCTCCAAATTCCAGCTGAGGAGCACCCCTCCCAACACTCTCAAATTGCTCCCCAAGTCACCCTTTGACCCCCGAAGACTTGTTGGCCAGAGGATGGGTGCATTGGTCAGGCAACCCCCTCCCACATCCCTTCTAGGTCCTCTCACTAACCCATTTATCCCCCCTACTTCCTCCAGGCCCAGCCCCACTGTGCTTTGGAGAGACAGCTGCAGCTGCTTCCACTCCCTAAGATGAAAGAGGAAGCTCCTATGGAGCAGCCAGCAGCACTTTCTCAGCCACACATTGGCTGGCTTAGTCTGGAGGGTGAGGGTGATAAGAAGGAAGCCCACTGGAATCCTGTGTACCACTGAGATCCCAGATGCCTTCTAAATACTGGGCCCCCTGTTGACTCACTCCATTCCCACAGCAACCTGGTTTACAGATGAGGCCACCGAGGCATATGTGGAGAATCAAGCACTTGTCATGGGGATGGAGGGACAGCACCTTGACTCTGCTCTTACCTGCGGAGGGGAATTTGGCAGCATCTCCAAACCTGCAGCCCTTGAACTCAGGAGCATCTCCCAGGGAATCACTCTGATGGAGATGAAGCAAAGGACAGGCAAGGTTATTCTAGTTAGCATATTTTGTGATGCCTAATATACCCACTTTGAAGTACTATACATCCATCAAAAAGAATGTGAGGGAGCTAGGGGTGTGGCTTGGTAAAGGAAAAATAAAAAAGAGAAAGTTCTAAATAGTACATAGAAGAAGCTACTACTTGTTTAAGAAAGTAGGGGACATTTTTTTAAAAAGTTATATGTGTACACCTCTACGTGTCTATATTTCATTTTTGTAAAATCTGTAGGAAGCCAGATTTTTCCAGGTGTGTTTCTTCCTACAACTTTATTGAGATATAGTTCACACATTATACAATTCATCCATTTAATGAACAGACTTCAATGGATTTTAATATATTCACAGACATACCCAACCATCACCCAGTCGATTTGAGAATGTCCCTCAAAAGGAAACCCTGCACACTTCAGCTATCACCCATCCCCCTCAACCCTAAGCAACCACTAATATACAGTTAAGAGGCTGCTGGTCTCTTAACTGTCCCTATGGGTCTGCCTTCTCTGAATATTTCATATAAATTGAATCATACAATTTGTGGCCTCTGTATCTTGCTTTAATATAGCTGTTATGGTTTGGATATGTAGTGTCCCCCCAAAACCTCATGTGTCAGAGAATGAAAGAATGTTCAGAGGTGAAATGAGTGGATTATGAGGGTTGTGACCTAATCTTATTGGATTAATTCACTAATATGGATTAACCTGGTGATAATATGGGCTGGTAGGGTGTGGTAGGAGGAAGTAGATCACTGGGGACATGCTTTTAGGGGCTCCATTTTGTCCCTGGTGATTGAAGATCTCTCCCTCTCTCTCTGCTTCTTGTTCCCATGTCTAGAGCCACCTTCCTCCCCTCACTTTTCTGCCATGATGTCCTTGCTCACCTCTGGCCTGGAACAATGGAGTTGGCCATCTATGGACTGAGACCTCTGAAACCGTGAGTCCCAAATAAAATATTCCTTCTCTACATTGCTCTTGTCAGGTTTTTTAGTTGCACCAATGAAAAAGCTGACTCCAATAGTAGCATAATATTTTTAAGGCACATCCATGTGGTAGCACATTATATTTCATTCCCTTGATGGCCAAATAATGACGTAGTGTATGGATAGAACTTTTTTGAATCTATTCAACAACTGGTGGATGTTGGGTTGTGCCTGCTTTGGGGCTGTTAGGAATGATGTTGCTCTGAACATTTCTGTGTAAGTTTTTACGTGGACACGTGTATTTATTCCCCTTGAGTATCCACCCAAACCTGAAGACCCTGGGTCCTGTGGTGACTCTACATTTAACTATTTGAAGGCCTGCCAGACTGCTTCCAGCTGCACCATTTTACTTTCCCACTGGTGATCTAGGAGAGGTCTCATTTCTCCATGGCTTAATACTTGTTATTGTCCACTTTTGGATATCAGCCATCCTAATGGATATGGAACCTCACTGTGGTTCTACTTCACATTTCTCTGATCATTAGAGTGAACATTTTTACCTACACTTTTTGCTTTCATTTAATAATATCATATCAAAATTAATTTGATAAAATGAAATAGAAATGGGGGTGAGAGTCCCAGGTTTACTACCCTCTTGGACCGTTGACCCTCATGAGCCCTTGATGCAAGTGTCTCGGCCTGAGCCCACCATTCTGTCATGGGTAAATCAGGCCTCTGCTTCCTGAGGCAGCAACTTCCTCAGCCTATGAGGACGACATTGGCTCTTCTGCACAGCAGTCATTATCCAGAGCACCTGTGGTGGCCTTTCCCATGGCCCCTTTGCTGGCATTGGATGATCCCTCTCCTTACTGCTCCCCAGGCCACCCAAGATGCTGGTACCTGAGAAAACCCTCCATTTCTGGCCCTCAACCCAATATAGGAAGCAACTGGAGGGAGGGATACAGGGACATTTCCTAACATGCCAGTGGCCAGGAGAAGCTTGAGGGGATGCTGCTTCTGGGAGGGTACTCTTGGCTGGTGAAAGGAGTTTGTTCCCATACAGATTCATATTCAGGACCCCCAGAGAGCTGGGACACCCTGTCATCCTATCCTGCTGCTGGATATCCGGCTGGGGCAGGCAGGGGCCACTAGCAGCACAGTTGCCTTGGGGAGAAGACAGCCTGATTAGGGAGAGATCACCAAGGCTCAGTGTGTTAGGCAGGTTTTTTTTAGTGACCAAAATACCAGATAGGATCAACTTAGAGGAGGGAAAGTTCATTTTGGCTTATAATTTCAGAGGTTCAGTCCACAGCGGGTGACTCCACTGCTCTGGGCCCAAGACGAGGCAGCAGGCGTATCATGGCAGAAGCGCATGGTGGAGAGAATCTTCCAGGTCATGCCCCCAGTGACCCATCTCCTCAAGTCACCATCCCTCACACACACCCATAGTTACCACCCAGTCAGGGCATTCAAACTCGGAGGGACTGATTAGGTTATAGCTCTCATAATCTAATTATTTCACCTCTGAATATCCCTGCATCAATGCAGGAGCTTTTGGGAGACACTTTATGTCCAAACCATAGCACTTGGGGAATAGCACTACCAAGCAGCTTCCGTCAGGTATCGCCAGGTAGGGAAGAGTCATCAAGATGCCACTTAAATACCTGTTGGCTCTGGAAAGTCCAGAAGAAAATCCAGAACCGAATGAAGCAATAAATGACTAGCAGGACCCAATAAAGCATGGCACCACCAGGATGGGGGGTGGGGTGAGCTTCCTGAAGAGAGATGCTAATTACGTGACTTGTGACCAGAGTCAGGGACTTGAAGAGGAGGACTCCCCCTCTCCTGCCACGTGGAAGGAATTGGCAGAGCAACCTCAACACAGTCTCAGCCCCCAGGCTGGGTGCCAAGCAGGGCCACTCCATTGAACTCTCTGCCAGCCAAGAATGTAACCCGACATGCCTCGGGAAGGTAACTCTGACACTGTCTTGGATAACAAAATCGTAGAATCATGCATCCAAACGTTAACGAGAATCAAACACACAATTTTAACCTTATTAAACATGTGCATTGGGTCTTGTCAGTGTTTGTTGTGTTTAAGATAATCCAGCTCATTAGACTCATCAGGCCAGCTTTTTACTGAAATTTTAAAGTTGTAATTGAGTAATTAACTTAGACTTGAGATTTTTAACTTGAAATCTAAGTCTTATAAAATATTGGGACACTAAGAGAACTTGTTATAATATTTTAATGTGTTAGATTTATAACTAATACTTAAGGGTTTTCTTTTCTCCTCCTTTGCTTTATTCCTTGTTATTGAGATCAGTGGAGGACTTTTTTTAAAAGCAAATTAAAATTAAATGTACAAATGTAGAGTTTTTGTTCGTTTATTTTTTTGATATTGGGCATTAGACCCAGGAGCACTTACCCACTGAGCCCTCTCCTAGTTTTAATTTTGAGACAGGGTCTCACTAAGTTGTTTAGGGCTTTGCAAAACTGCTGATACTGGCCTCAAACTTGTAATCCTCCTGCCTCAGCCTCCCATTGCTGGGATTACAGGCAAGTGCCACGCCTCCTGGTTTCTATGCTTCTTTATAAAATAAGTACATTAGTAAATTGAATTTAAAAGCTAAAGAAAGAACTAGAACTTTTACATTTGTAACTTTAATGAATATCAACTTACAGAATTTTAAATACTAAATAAAAAGTTTTGAATTGTATGCACAAAATGTGCCCTTTGAGGATCTCAACATCTCCTGTTGAATGGGTGTGGAATTCGAGGCTCGAGTGGGGGTTTAGGGAATTCTGTTCACTGCTCTGGCAGGCGGGGTTTAGCCCTGCCGTCCAGCCAGGGCTGTTTCGCCGTTGGCACTGGCATATAGCCATCAGTCCATCTGGCTGTGTCTTCAGTCTATCTGCACCACAGCCAAAGAGGTCATTTAAAAATGCCACCAACCTGTTCCCATCACTCAGAATCACCACCCTCTGCATACTGGCTCTGACCACCTGAATTTGCTGCCCTCTCGGGGGCAGATCTGTCACTGCCTCGCGTTCCTCACCACCATTTAGCCTCCTTGGCCTGTTTGTCCCTGGAATGACTGGGGGGCTCTGGTCTAGAGACTGCACTGGCTGCTCCCTCCCAGTGGGCACTCCTTCCTACCTCTCCCTGCCAGTTCCTTCTTGCCTTTCCTCTCTTCTCAGAGGCCCCTGACTCCCCAGTCTGAAGGAGCCCCTGTTGCCCCTTGAAACTTTATCCTCTTTTCCTTCTCCCCTCGCTGACTGCCATTCTGTTATATTTATGGTGTTTGTTGGGTGTCGGTTGTCTTCTCCATCAAAATGCTCAGAGCACAAAAAGCCTCCTTTGTGTCTGAGACACGTGAATACTCTAGTTGGTGTGCAATAGATATTTATTGAGCATGGGAATGAAAAAGGAACACGTGGGAAGTATCACTGTACAGGTGAGGAAACAAGCTCGCAGGATCACTTGGCCAGTGTTGCTCAGCTCCTTATGAGCAGGGCTGCATTCTCTGACTCATGTCACCTATGTACCTTAACCTACGGCAGGGGCTGGGGAGGTGGGCAGAGAACACTTTCAGGTGAGTGATGGATGAGCCCTTGTTGTGGTTAGAATGTTTGTCCTCCAGAATACATGTGATGGAAGTTCATATGTTAATGATATTTGAAGGTGAGGTCTTCGGGAGATGGTTAGGATTAGATGAGGTCATGAGAGTGGGGTTCCCATGATGGCATTGGTGGCTATGTAAGAAGAGGAAGAAAGATTCAAGCTCTCATGCTTGCTCTGTCTTACCATGTGATGCACTCCACCATGTCATGATGCAGCAAGAAAGCCCTCACCAGATGCCATGCCATGCTCTTGGATTTTATAACCTCCAGAAACATAAGTCAAATAAACTTCTATTCTTTACTGGTTACCCAATCTCAGATATTTTGTTATAGGACAGAAAGTGTAGTAAGATAGCCTTCAAGGGATGGATGGAGGACTTTGTCAGGGAGATGACAAGGACACAAGGTACTACTTCAA